CAACACAAACAGCAGCAGCAGCAGCAGCAGCAGCAGCAGCACACCGTGAAAGACTGCTGTTTCCAGCAGATTCTTTCTGCGTGTTCTCCTTCTCCTTTCTCTGCAATTGTCAGAGTGTATGTACCCTCAGGCGCATCTTCCAGGCTGAAGAGTAGGCGTTGCTGCTGCTGCTGCTGCTGCTCTTCCACTTTCAAGGGCACCTCCTGAGCAGCCGCCGGTGACTTCGTCGGCGTGAGTCGTAGCAGCAGACGGTCGGGACTGCAGAGGCTCGCCACTGAGTCTTCCCTGCTGCTGCTGCTGCTACCGTCCTTGCCGCTGCTGGTGCCCTTGCTGCTGATGCTGCTGCAGCTGATGCGGCCACGAATGGGAAAAGATGTGCGCAGCAGCTGCGCATTCTCAATTGGCTCTGCGCCCATGCGCAGCAGCCGCAGGGGGCCGGGCTTCAGCTGTACAGACACCTCGGAGTGTGGGGCCGCGTAGATGCAGATTCGTCCCTGAAAGACAAAAGACAAGACACGCCCACCGAGTTTGCTGAAGCAGCAGCAGCAGCAGCAGCAGCAGCGTGAGCAGCAGCAGCAACAGAAACAGCAGAATCACGTGTGCAGCAGCGGCAGCAGCAACTGCAGCACCAGGAGCAACAGCAACAACTGCAATTAGCGGCAGCAGCGGCGCCGCCCGACGAAAAACAGCAGCCGCATCACAAGCAGCAGCAGCACAAGCAAGAGCAGCAGCAGACATTGGCATCTTTCTGCAGCTGCTTGCGTTGCTGCTCTTCTATCAACTCCGCCGTGACCTCTGGAGGCAGCTGGGCGCAGAGAGAAACAGCAGCAGCTCTCAGGGGCGGCAGCAACGCAGCGGCAGCAGCAGCAAGCCGTTCCTGTAGCGCAGCAGCGCATGCAAAGGGACCCTTGAAACAGCAGCGGAAGAAACAAAAAAGAAGACAAAAGACAAAAGCAGCAGCCAGCGCTAATTAGGAAATAAATGACAAAGAGAGAAGTAGGAAAAGATGCACTGACGCCGCACGCGACTGGGCTTCTTGCTACTGCTGCTGCTGCTGCTGCTGCTGCTGCAACAAGCGCGGCAGTACCTGCAGTACTTCTACCTGCCAGCTGCGGCAACTTAGCTAGCTGCCTACAGCCTGCCTCACTTTAAACAGGCACGACTTAGTCAACCAGCTAGCCACCTAGCTAGCTAGCTAGCTACCTCGCCAGCCGCTTCTCCAGCTAGCTAGCCAGCTAGCTACCTAGCTGGCCACCTAGCCAGCTCACTCGCTACCTAGCTAGCTACCT